TTACTTATTATCTTATTATTTGATGGTATCTTACATTTTATTTGGCATTTTATTGGCCGAGATGGGACAATTTCAATTTTGCCCAGCAAGAACATCACAATTTATTGTTCGATTTTTCAAGTCTCGAGCCTCCAAGTCACGTGATTGTTTTTGACACTTTGACTGGAAAATGAATGAACCGAACCAGCTTAGAAAGTGCATTTAAACGGGCAAAAAGCGTATCTGTGTGCCAACAGATATGATGATGCATAATGCAGTATCAAGACACGTTTGGTGATTTATCCTGCTATGATAAATAAACAGCGACATGTGATCAAGACCAGTGTCCAAGACGCTATCGAGAAATGAGAGAACTTGTGAACGGAAGCAAGATTTACAAATCGGCGAACTTCTACGAAACTCGACCACGACCACGATCCATGAAGTCATGCACTCATCAGCTTTCCTTTCGTCAAGTTTTCATTTCTTAGGGCCCCAGTGATATCCTCATACTTATCCTTCTTGCCAGGCTGCAGATGTGCGCAGCGCCAACTGGGCAGCAGCTGCACTCGCAGTCCTGCACAATCCTATCACAACGTCCCGTATCCTATCCGTATCCTTGCCATACGCATCACCTCATAATCACCTCAACTGAAAAGCCACGATGCTTGTGGATGTTGTTGTATGTATGAATACGCAAAGGTCGCAAAAAATAAACAAACGCCCGCCCGCCGCAAACCGCAAATAAAAAAAAACGCAAAAACGCCGCAAAACAATAAAACCGCCCGCGTCGCCCGTCCGCTAACCGCCAACCGAAAACGCCTAAAAATCGCCCGCCCGCCGCCAAAAAAAAAACACCGCAAAAAAAAACGAAAAAGCAGCCGCCAGCCGCAAACAAATTTAACACCGCAAACGACGCAAAAAAAAAGAAAGAAAACCGTCCGCATCGCCCGCCCGCCCGCCCGCCGCCAAAGACAAACACCGCAAAAAACACAAAACGCCCGCCCGCCGCAAAACGTAAACACCGCAAAACGTGTAAAACGCACGCCCGAAAAGCCAACGCAAACGGCAAAAAAATCGCCAGACCGCCGCAAACCACACAGAAAAAACGCCGAAACGCCGAAAAAAATAAAACCGCCCGCACCGCACCGACGCTAACTGCTAACCGAAAACGACTAAAAGTCGCCCGCCAGCCGCCAAACGCAAACACCGCAAATAAGCGCCCGGCCGCAGCAAGATAATAATTTATCAACGACTGGCATACCGCTAGCCTGGTCATTTTCACACATCAAAAAGATATCTGCAAAAATCTCCTAGATGAAAGCGCCCGATTAAAAAACGGATGGCACGTGCGTGTTCCTCGCCCCCAACTTCCTTCAGGTCAATCGTCATTTGGGTCACCTAACGCATTGACGACCGGCTGGGTGGAATGAACATTGCGCCAAGAAACGTAAGTATATTGTCAAAAAGAATCCCCAGAATGGTGGATCCCAAAAGTTTGAAACTACCACTTTGGCCCACTGGACGACACCTTAAACAGTTGCCGACCGGATGACACCCATTGTTTGGTCACCCACGCCATAGTATGCATCATGGGTGCGCCGAAATGACCAAAAGTCCCAATTTCCGGTGTGCAGGGTCATTTTCAACGGCACGTGGCACGTGGTTCTGGACTTTTCCGGCCACTTTGCGACATACCCATGGGTAGTGCACCGAATGGTGGTTGATCTGCATGGAAGAAAATGGGGGGTCGTTTGGATCGTTTTCGAGCAATCTGCCGTAGAATTATTTTTCTTTTGCCCATTGGCTTAAAGGAAATAGTTCACTTTTAACATGGGATTTTGAACTGGAATAGGAGTTTCGTAGCTTCAGCTGAGACTAGCACAAATTAGGAGCTTTTACGGCTCAGCGATCACCCTAGACGAAGATATTCCATTTCTCGTTCCGAAAAGTGTGCCTTGCAGAGGAATGTGTGCCTTGCACAGGAATGCAGCCACGTCATCGTCAGCCAATCAGCATGCTGCTTACAGCTAATGCAGCATGCGTAGGTTTGAATTACGCAATATGATTGGTCAACGCGTAATAAGCTTCCGCGTCAAACATTATTTTACATAGAATATAGTTCGTCCTATATTAAAATATAGAAAATATTTGTTTTTACAAAAAGGTTTTATTTTATTTTCTGATCATTTTGAGCATAAAAAATCGTAAATTCATAGCAAAATACTAATTTCAGGAAAGTGAACTGTTTCCTTTAACACGGGAATTTTCAAAGTCACGTGGCACGTGCACCAGATGGTCCGCGGAGGGGAGACCCATACCAGAACGTAAATCACCTGGCCCACTAGAAATCCTGAAAAAATCAGAATTTTTGGTGCAGCCGTTTTCAAGAGCATCAAGTTGTACTGATCTCAGGCAGCTTTTGCCAAATTGTCAGGGAACTCAGATTTGTTTTTCAATAGAAAAACACAATTCTAAAGAATAGCGTTTTAACTATTGACAACAAACTTTCGGTTATCCAGAACCGATTAACTTGTGAACTTATTTGCTTGTTTATACAGTCATGTCATGGTGATAGGCCCACATACAAAATGTAAGGCCAATCTTAACAATGTTGCGCAACTGCAGCTTCATTACCGGTGTTTGGCCTTGGACCCTGTCTTCCCCAGGCACCTGAATGCAGTTGGTCCTTAACTGCCTGTTTCCTCTCTGTGATGCACGCCACATTTACGACGCTTTTGTTTCCAAACTGCTTTCATTTACTCGTATGCTGCCGTTTAGAATAGGGCGTCTTTGTGATTTTTCCGCTTTAAGAAATAAAACGTTATCAAAGTAGTGCAATTAGTGAGTCAACGAACTCATAAGTGCATTGTTTGCTAATATAGATGCATAAAAGCGTGTTCTTTCATCTTTGCATCATTTATGCTAATAATTTTTGCTAATAGTGTTTTGAACCTGCTTTTGATATTTATTTTCTTTAGTTTGAGAGAAAAATTCAGCCCCAACCCACCCCGAGATTCCGGGTTTCAATGAAAACGTCTAATCTGGATGGCAAACCCGCGCGGTGTTTAGACGTCTCGAGGGATGACTAGTGGAATGACTTCCGTTCGTTCGTTCTACCAGCAGGGATAACTTAGAACCCCTCCCTAATTAATACGGCCTCCAACGTCAATAGATCTCCCGCTGTAAGGTCACTCGAGGAAGAGAGTTGGACGGACATGCGCTCCTCCTACCAGTCGGGACAGTTTAGAACTCTCCCTGGTTCATGATCTCTACCGTTGATTAGAGAGGATAATTATATGGTTCATCTAACTCGCGTTCTCTTCCGCTGTCAGACGGGTGCAGGCGCCCAGTCGTCCGGACATCCGCTCCTTCTACCAGTCGGCGGTGCAGGTCGGAGAAGGTGTGGTCCACCTGGGCGGTAGGACGGCCGAGCTCATCTGCGACTTCACCACCAACGGGCCCTATCCCAGCTCCGACATCCTCACCGTAAGCAACACTCGGTCTGATCTACGTCTTGGCTAGTGAATGGGTTTTGGAGAGTCGAACATACTGAACTACAAACCCATATCATAGATCTTCGTCTTGTCTCGGTCTGAAGTCTGTTTATTCGTAATGAGGTGACATATAATCGTAGAAGTGTGTTATCTAAGCTTTGCGTTTTTTAACAGCTTTGCGCTTTGGACAAAGAACTCTGTATGCAGAGGTGTATGTGTCGTATCAATAGATCAGTTCGAGAAGAACGTCTCCCTCGTATTTTATCGTTCCTGCGAACGTTCCTACGGCGTCTGCTGCTCACTGACCCCTGCGTCCCACAGGACGTGGTGTGGCAGAGGCTGGGTAACGACGACGTCTACCTGAACACCCCGATGGCCTCGGGATCGGAGAACGTGCTGTACTGTCCCAGCGACTACGTCGTGCCGCCCCCGGTCAACTACGATTTCAACGTCGTCGGCACCAGGTCAGGGGTGGGAAGAATTTTATGTCGGCGTCAGGTCAAGGGCGGGTGGGGGGCTCCTGTCGGCATGAGGCCAAAGGCGGGGAGGGGTTTCTATCAGTACCAGGTCAGAGGCGGAGAGGGGTTTCTGTCGGCACCATGTCAGAGGCAGGTGGATTTTTATCAGTGTGCGCTCAGAGGCGGGGAGGGGTTTTCGTGAATGCCGATGTGGTTGACAAAAGGGCCAAAAGATTTTGACAATGGCTACAGAGGCCAATGGCTTAATTGCGATGCGGATTATCATTGATCTACGTCTTACATCTTCCATAAGCATGCATTCATCCTAATGAAGCCAAAATAAAACGGCAGCTTCCTCAATTAAAAAGTACGTAAATTTTATGTATGCAATATATCTTGCACGCAATGTACATAGCTATCAACAGACTGTCACTCGTGTGTTTCTTTTCTCGGCTTACCCTAGGACAAGCCTGGTGATTCAGAACTCCAGTTCACGAGACTACGGCACCTATCGGTGTTACGCCACCCGCGTCAACCGGCTGAATCCCGACGACCGGCATCCAGTCTACATGGAGATCCAGTTCGCTGCCAACTCGCCCCGCACTGGACTGGTTGGATGAGACTCCGCTAGGGCAAGGGGAATGGCCGAAATGCTCCTCTTGACCGGGGAGTAGGCGTGCTTATGTATAGCATGGTGTTCAATGCGTGCTCGTGCGTTTGTAAAAGACATGGAAGAGTCGTGAGATTTTGGATGGCACGATGGGATAGGGATAAGATTGTTACCAAAACTGTCGATAGAAGCTGAAAATGCTCTCTTCTGTGTCTAGTTAGTGCTACCGGCCAACAACTAAGCAGCGCTCGTCTTCCGCTGGCACGGATAACTTTTGTACCTTTGCTTCCTCCATGAACTGGGCAAGTGACGCTTGAATATGCTATCTGCGCTTGATAATCTTTCGTTTGGTCTATGCGAATACTATGTGCTTTTATTTCTCGCTTGTTTTTTTTTTTTTTTTGAATGCTGCCATATAGCTCGGTGATAAAGAAGTTGACATAAACAAACTCATAGTTAGTCACATGCAGTTTGTATTCATAGTCATAATTGCTACATAAAAAAGCATGCGTAGCGTGCCCGAAAGGAAATCGATGACGATTCCATAAACTGCACGCATGGAAATTTCGGTGCTTTTTATCGCTTCTAATTCATCACATGACCCGATTTGTCGTTTCGTCACTTTCTGCATGCTGTTTTGTGGTATTTGGACATTTTTTGTGATAATACATAAGACGTCGTTTTAGCTATTTTTTATTCATCTACTGCATTTATTCCTCTACCTCAGGCATCTCGTATGTTCTCACAAAGTCATCTGCGACTTTTTCGGAACACAAAACCAACGGCAGATATTTACAGCATTAATTGACCATCGAGCACCGGCGACTGACCCACCAATCGATACCTCTCCGCCACTTTAAGGCAGCAGCAAAGGCACTCTTTAATGCCGCTATATAAAAGTACAAAGCTCCCCTCCTCCGTTTACAGCGAGGCTGATTGGTCTGTCCGCACAATTCAGTGGTCGTTCTGCTCTCCAAGCCTGCTGGAGAGCAGTGAACACTCGCTGAGGGCCGCATCCTCCGCCCCTAGGCCTCCTTCTTGTCTGACGACTCGGTCTTGATCTCCGCCGCTTCATCTCCGTCAACCACGCGATCCGGCTCGGTCTTGGAGAGAGCGCTGCGCCGGTACCCCCAGCCTCCCCAGCCGCTGCCCCAACCGCTGCCGCTACCCCATCCGCTACCCCAGCCGCTGCCACCACCCCAGCTGCCACTGCTACCCCAGCTGCCGCTGCCCCAGTTGTCGCTACCGCGATAATCCACCTCCATGTAGACCATATCGCCTCGGCCGTAGCTGGACCATCCGCGCACCTGGGCGTAGCAGCGGTACCTGCCGGCGTCGTAGGGCCGCGGGTCGGAGAGGGTCAGCGTGCTGACGTCCCCGGAGGTGGTCACCCAGCCGGCCACCACGCCGCTCGGGTAGTACCCGCCCGGGTAGTGGCGGTCCACGTCCCGGTAGCTGCCGCCGCCGCAGCCCCGGGAGCCGCTGCAGCCGCTGTAGTACCCCCCGCTGCCGCTGCCGCTGGAGCTGCTGCCGTAGTAACCGTCGTTGTTGCCGTAGTAGCCGCCGCCGCTGCCGTAGTAGTTGTTCCGCACCTTCTTCCAGACTACGTTCTGTGAAAATGGACAAACGAAAGTACGAGGTTAACATAGGCACCAGGCAGAACGTAGGTCTTGATAGTAGTTTTAACTTTTTAAACCATGCAGCTTAGGATAAGGAATACACACATTCTTAGAAATTTTATTCTAGCGTTTTCAGCATTGTTGTAAAATTTGAAGAGAAAATACTCTAGTGATGCCATTTTCGGGACCACAATCAAGTCTGCTATATTACCAAAGTTTACCATTGACAAGCATATGATATCTTTGGTCTACTCATTCTCACCTCAATCCTCTCGTCGTAGCCGAGTCGCCCGTCTCGTCGGAAGTCGCAGATGAGCTCGGCCCCTTCGTATCGTCCCCGGTAGCGCACCCGGCCGCGGCCCACGTAGCGGGCCCGCTCGTAGTAGCCACCGGTGCCGTAGTAGTCATTCTGTCGGAGCAGAGTGGGGTCAGCGTGACGGGCAGGGATGGACTGGGTGGAGAGGGCGTGGTGGAACAGCGACAGGGTGAAACAATGCCGACACAAAATATGTAGGCACAATTCGTACTATGTGCTAATTTAGTTTGTAGGCATATGCAACTCCATTTGAGATTTTAATATGAGTTGAAATGCAAAGACACTAATAGAGTGTCGTATGGTGTGACGCTCATGCAGCAGCATGGTCTTCGACCATTACGAAGGGGTACTGCGCTTCGCTGCCGACAAGACTTCCAATGTCAACCTCGTTGAAGTGTGAAGCTAAAATTTGTCAAATCAGGATGATATTCTCATAGTTCTGCTAAAAAAAAAAAGGACCAGGAAGGACGCAGTGTTAGTCGTTTCCTCCTCGTCGTTCCGCGCGCGACAGCAGCTCAGTGGCTCGTTCATGCTCGTGTCACGCGCAGACAGGCTCTGTCCTTGGACTGCGTGCAGTTCATGGCAGCAGCGCCGCTCGTGATCACGATTCGGCGCCGCGCCTCGGTTCAGGGGGTGGCCACAATACACTGCCGGGTCGATGGGCTCGGCTGGTCAGGGGCCAGTGCGATACTGCCGGGTGTGGCCAGCAAACCGGAACAGCACAAACAGACAGAGTGGGAGTGAGCGCAGACAATGACCGCTGGACGGCGGCCTGTCCGGCGCTTCTCGGGGTTACCCAGTTCACTGACAGTGCGAGCTACTCTGAGTTTGTGGCAGCTGCATTTAGTGCACATTGACAACCGTTCGTATTGCTGAACAATGGAACATAGAGTTGCAGGCACGCCGATCTGCAACCTTGTCCGCCGTACATTTTGACACAAGGATGACAGGAACAAAGCGATGCTCTATCAACAGTGTTTGTGGTTTCCTGGTCGCTAATGTTGAAAGGAACGTTTAGATGACCACTTATTAGATACGCTAGGGTGACTTTAAAAGCTCTTCGTGTTTTCACACTCAATCGGCTTCTATCCACTCGTTTATTAGCGTGCTCGTCAGGGATGCGGAGCCGTGGAAATTTCAGACGGCTCCGGCTCCGGCTCCGGCTCCGGAGAAAAAAATTGGCTCCGGCTCCGGCTCCGGCTCCGGGTGAAATGTCATGGCGGCTCCGGCTCCGGCTCCGGCTCCGAGTAAAATGATCCGGCTCCGGCGGTTCCGGCTCCGGCGGCTCCGGCTCCGGCTTCTACTCAGTACATCCCCTATGCGATCAATTAAATACGGGTGGAAGAAAAAAGGCGATGGGATTGGTACACGTTGCTTCTGTATTTGTATAACAAGGCTATTTTGAATACCACATTGTTTTACGCCTTGTACTGTCAAACCGAACTAGGTAAATAACTGTTTCCTCGTAAGAAAAGGAGCCGGAGTCGCCCCTTTTTTGACGGCTCCGGCTCCGGCTCCGGCTCCGGGTTATATTGTTTCACGGCTCCGGCTCCGGCTCCGGCTCCGCATCCCTGGACTGCACGTGTATCCATTACGCAAAGCAATTTTAAATCTATATTACTATTTGAGGAGGGCGTAGTTTCTGTCTATTACGAAGGTCGCGACATGGTGCTACGTAGCGCGGGTTACAGATCACACCGTTGCACCTACCGCGCTGAAATTTGCGCAAGTTATAGAACAAGGATGGACAACGTGCCTTTGAGCGGTCTCGGCTCGATCGGATCGATAGCGAGCGCGTGGCGCGTGCCCAAAAAGTGCAAATTCGTGTCATAGACTTTACATGTATAAATCGGCTGGCAAAAACGGGCGAAAATGGCTAAATTTGCCCGACACGGGTCCGTTCCCCGTGCATATCTCGGTAGCCGTGCGCCCGATCGGCACGGGGAAAACAGCATCGTGTAGAGAATCGAACGGGCAATCGAATAGTGTGCGGTGCAGGGGTGGCACGCGCCACGTGCAAGTGTGAGGGCAATTTCATTTCAAAAAGTGCCATTTCAAACGGATTTTGGATTTTATTTTATTTTCCCGTGACCATCAGACTGAGAGAGTTGAAACAACGTCAATTGGCAAGAGAAATGTACCGCCTCTCATGGAAAAATTGTGAACAGCTAATTGATCAAAAACAATGTGGAAAAAATCGCTGAATTAAATGGTATTTGTCCATAATGTGCCACTAAAAAGTTACACGGGATTTGCTGCTTAACCTGATACGCTTGACAATTGAAAATGCTATCATTAGAAAGAGCATTCAATTCTCTCCAAGATCCAATCATCACGTTTGCATGACAAGCAACAGTATTCTTAAAAATATAAATGTTTTAAACCTCTGCAAAACGATTTTTAGCGAAAATTATCTACGCCTTTCATTTGTCTTAAAACTACGCACCTCAATTATAAAGCACATTTGACAGATTCTGAAGTGGAAAGCATGCTTATCAGACACGGGCACCTCGATGCGGTGGATATTTTTTCCACAAACCAAAACGTTTAGCCGTCAAAAAGCAATCGACCGAAATGGATAGATAACCCAACCGACACAAGAACAACCGAACACCCGCCGATCGAAAATATCCCTTTTCGCGTTGCGGAGCACGCGGGTCACCCTAGTTACATGCTACTGATGGTGTTTTGGAAACACAAAGTGATTTTAAATAACTTCAACTGAATTTCTGCTTCATGACAGCCTTGAACCCCTGTTTCAGGGTTCACTAAAACAAAAAATCCGCAAATACCTTTCCGGTTTCATCACAAAACTCCCTCGAGCTTCCAGGCTCAGAAGTTAGGTGTAACATCTGGCTCAGAACTCACCAAGCGGCTCAGAACTGACATCGTTTGGCTCAGAACTCTGATCGTCTGCTAATAACTCACCTTGTCTGCTCAGAACTCAACCCATCCCTCAAAACTGACCCGGTGGCTGCTCTAAACACACCTCGTCAACTCAGAACTCACCTCGTCTCCTGGGAAGGAATTCACCTAGCGGGATTTTAGAACTCACCTCATCTGCCTAGAACTCACCTCGTCTGCTCAGATATCATCTCGCCCCCTAGAACTTACCCATCGGCTGCCGGTACCCCAGCTGGTGTCTCCGCAGCGGTAGAGGTAGCCCTGGCGATCGCGACAGTAGCCGCCGCCGGTCCGTCCGGAGCCCCAGTCTCTGCCGTTGCCGCCCCAGGAGGCCTCTCCGCCGCCGAGCCAGTGGCCCACGGAGAGGGAGAGCAGGGCGGTCGCCACCAGCATGGTCGCCAGCATCCTGACAGTCTGAAGGGGACGGCGCTGGCGCAGCGACTGACCCGACACGTCCCAGGCACGGACGGCACGCTACACGCGAGACAATTACGCGGCGCACAATGTGATGCGCTAATATGCGGCTATACCGGCGACAGGCGGTGGCCTTGGTCAGGACGGGACGGGCCGGACGGGGCGGCACGTGCCGGTGTCAGCGCGGGTCAAACTGTCCGACAGCGCGGCGCTGGTTTGACGGGAGCGACGAGCGGATGCCGGGACGTGTGAGGTCGCTGATGACAAGTGGGTTTGTATGTAGAGAATGCCTCTAACTCGGCGCTGGGTTTTAGGAAGACTGGCTCGTTTCGCTGCTCCTTGCAGGAGGATGGGATTGGGAAGGTGCCTGCGTCGCGGCGGCGCAAACAATGAGTCCCTCCGGCAGCAGGCAGACTTTATCACGCATCCTGTGGCGGCGAGGTCATCGCGCTCGTGGCTCGCACAATACCCTATCCGCCGGTGGCGCTTCTTTACGCTACTCGCGCGGGCATCGGCACGGCACGCCCCAAGGCCACTCTCCTCTGGCAGTCGTGAGTGCCGCCACCTGCCCCGCCCGACCGGCCAAAAAACCGGACCGGACCCCGCCGCTACCTCTTTCATGGTACCCAGAGACCATGAACATTTTTGGCCGCCGGAGGTCATGCTGCAAGGGTCATGTTGCACGCTGTGACCGAAGCGCCCTTCATGACGGCCAGGTCATCTCCGTCTAGCGGTTTTCATTGAAGAGTCTGAATGGCGGCGCGGTCCAGAAATGAGGCGTTAGCTCCGCCTCCTTCCTCCGGAACTCGTCATCAGCTCTCAGAGCGAGTTTCTGTCATTTTCACGGCCAGCGATCTCACACAATGTGCTGTGCACTGCAGCGCTGGCATTAATCACGCTGGCTGCTGCGGCGCTGCCTTTATGATAACGACTGCAGAATTGTTGCAGATAAAAATAATTCAATGTCAGGATATTTTCTGCTAAAAGAAATTATACTACCTATTTACTTTCTAGTTAGATGAAGGTTGCCGAGGAGTAAATTAAATTGCGATTCAAGGTGGAAGATAGCTTGGTGGAATGTGGCTGGTAGGTATTGTTTACAAATAGGATGATGTAGGTAAAGTTATTGCATTATTTTTAATATCAGTGACCTCTTTTGACCTGACCTTGACCTTAAAAATCCTTCTTTATGATTTTAGCGCCAGAGCTCAAAGTGTGAATATGCTTCATTTGACCTTTGACCCTACCTTGACAGGTCATGTGACCTCAAATTCCAAATTTCAGGATTGCATCTGATGCGTTTCGGTGAGGCTTTTCCAACGCCGCCTCTTGCGTCCCGCTACGATGCTTCTTTTTAAAGATAGCATGGTGGGTGTTAAGCGACCCCCCCCCCCTCAGTCAATGGCGTTCGGCTTTAGGCTCAGTCAAGCGCGGGTTAAGACTCACATCTCCGGTGGGATAACCCACCCAGCCGCTCAAACGGCTACCGAATCACGCTCCTATATATCTCGAAGCTGCCCTCGACATGGTTACCCGCATGTGGAAAGCGTCAGCCCGGATCAATAGAGTGTGATCAAGGATGAGGATGTGTAGGCAGTAGGCACTGGAGATTAGGGGGACGGATATCACTCAGTAACAGTCATTAATTGTAGCATAGGTATTGTAGCATTAATAGGCATTAATGTTCTACATGTGTTGCTAATGCTTCGCTAACATGTCTCGTCGTATATGAGGCTCTGCTGGCACGTTCCCCGTCGCCACCGCGCCGGTCCGTTAGGTCCTGCTCGATCGCCCGCGGTGCTATTGACCTCCGGGCGGGTGTGGGTCAGAGTGCAGAGGTCACACGGCGCTGACACCGCCCGTCACTGTGTCGGTCCCTGTCGATCGGTGCCGCTGGTGACGGGGGGGGGGGGGGGGCACACCGCAGTGCAGTGGATGGAGAGACGACATTGACCGTTCAATGACGTGTAGCGGAGCTGCTAGTTACTGTTAGTAACTGTGTAGAACAGTCGCTGCCCTGGGTGGAGTGCATGAGTGCGATTGGACTGGATATTACAGATGGTGTAGCATGGATTCATAGAACCGGTCAATGGAGTGAGCTGAATCCGAATGGGTCCCTATCGGATCCCTGCCGGATCCCACGTATACCTATACTGATTGGACCAAACCATAACTTATTATTTGTACCTATAGGTATAGTTTTCGCATAGCTGGCCATCGTCTAACTTCTACGAGCAGCGACATTTATCTACCATCCCTAAACTCTTAACCCTCGCACGACCAGGCCATTTCTCATAACACGAACGACCAGGGGGGAGGGGGTTGTTACGACCCCCCCTGGCGTTTCGAAACGGAAGGTCGTAGAGCTTAGCGGAAAAAACCAACGGATTGCTCTCAACGAGATCTCGCGATTGGTGGTATATTTTTTGGTCCTAGGTCAACATTTGACCTACTTTTGACCGGTCAAAGGTCAAATTTTCGGAAAAATAGACTTTTTTCAACTTTCGGCGGCGATTGCGGCAAAACGGTGGGAGATATCGACTTGAAACCTTCACTATCGTGTTTCTTGATCAATTCTCTATCGTTTGGTATGTATTTCGTTTCCCTAGCTCTAAAAATGGCGCGTTGGGAGCGCCGGAAGTCGGCAAGGTCACAGTCGGCGGCAGAAATTCGAAAAATCAAAATTTAAATTTTTGAAATCTGATTGTATTTTTGGATTTGGGAGGTCCATTTGCTCCCTATAGAAGCTAATATTGCTGCATATTCCCATTGAGGTGACAAGAATTAGCAAAATAGTGGTTCGGGCGCTTTTCAAAAATAGTACCGGACGCTGTTCCTCTTGTGACGTCATAGCTCCGTGACCTGACCTGACCCGGTCAAATTTCTTATACCATATGATAGCCAATACTTGCCCCAACATGCATGGGAAGTTTCATCACGATCCATCAACCGATGTCCGTACCACCGGCAGGAAACCTCGGGCGTTGGCACTCAGTTTGTGAAAATCCGGCCGGAGGCTGTACCTCTTATGACGTCATAACTCCGTGACCTGACATGACCCGATCAATTTTTTCGGCAAAAGATGCGCAAAGGTTGCCCCAGAGGGTATTGAAAATTTCAGCCCGCTACGACAAGCCGTTTAGCGTGCACTTCGAAAAAACCTCAGGGGGGGTTGATACAACCCCCCCCCCCTAGGCGTTCTAGGGTTAAGTCTGCTGCTCTCAGTAGAAACGGGCGTCGAGGATAAGTAAACGCATTGAAACGGCATTGCTTACGGAGAAGAGCGCATCATATAAATTATCTAGTTACCGTCTCACCAACCGAGAAACTAAAGCTGAGGAAATATGATGTGACACTTATGATACGAGTATGACCCTGTTTTTCTGATAACTGGTTATCGTACTTGAGGGGCCTTTGAGCTTGTTCAAATTGGTCGCGTATTTAAGTTAGTTATTTTCTTTATAATAACAAAGCGTTCCTTTGAAAATGTTTATAAAGTTTGTTTGATTATTATAATCTACCACCCCGTGAGACAATTCTTCTTAGATATCAGTATATTCAGCCACTCGCAATTCCTTTGCTATGAAGTATGGGCTAACTCAGACCAGACAGGTTCCTCGTAATAGCTGTGAACCTGCCGTTGTCACGTAATGTGATCTCAAGCTGTTTGCGTGACTCGCCCCCCTTCCCTCAGCACGCGAGGACTAACAATGATGCCGCCTCACTTTTGAAAGTGACTGAGAAAACAAAGGTGAGGCGTTCCTGCTGAAATGTTGTGGAGCTCCGTATCAGCGAAGGCCGTCTTCTGAAGGTCATCATCACTCACTAAAATCTGAGATAGGCATCCCTTGTGGGCGCCTACGCGAGGTCAATGTGATACTGTTGTCTAGGAGCATGGGCAACGATGCATATGCCTACATCCACGCATATGTGGATGGCTCTACACTTCTACATGCCCATGTCGATGCATAAATGAACGCCAGGCTGTACAGTCAGTCTTGAAAGTACCGCACATTGGTGCAGTGGATCCATCAAGCCCGATCGGGGAAGGCTGCTAAATTTGGAGAGTCACCGAGCCAATTGACATCCTCATCCATCCCCCAGGTCAATTGGTTCGGTGACTCTCAAATTTAACAGCCCTTCCTCGGTCGGGCTTGATGGATCCACCGCAACGATGCGCGGTACTTCGAAGACTGACAATACCTTACATATTTTAGCATTTACTAGCACGTAAGTACATTTAGTGTGTACCTTAACCTTTATGGTATATGCGCGGGTATTTGACATGAACTGGTTGACGGACGATGCGTGATTTATCCAGTGTAAGAATCGTGACAAAAGACTATGCAAGTGGCTGTGGCAAATAGGGCTCTTAATAGCCATTTTGCGAAGGGTTATGCGGTAATTGTTCGGTTCAGAGTTCGTTAAATTTGGTCAGCTCATGTTCTAATGGAATACCAATTGTCTTCTAGTTGCTCTTTAGTCTGGGAAAGCGCCGTTGGTCTGTGCTCCTGCTGACTGATACTCCTGTGCTCCTGTTCGCCTATACTGTGCGCCTGCTGGTTGAGTCCGATCTCCTGCCGCGTGACCTTATGTTTCTGGTCGTGTCGCCGGGTCAGCCGCGCCATCAGCAGCTCACCCAGCAGCAGCAGCACTGCAGCCGCCGCTCCGGCCAGCAGCACCGTGAACGCCTGCTGACACGAGTGCAGCGACAGGCTGGAGACGTGGTCTCGGGGCTGAGGCGCCAGGTCGCAGACGGTGATCGGGCTGCCGGGTAGCACCGGTACCTGGCGGCGCAGCAGGCGCTGCCACAGGCCCGTCTCACGGACCCGCAGCAGCGCCAGACGCCAGGCGTCCTCCTCCGGCAGACCGCGCCGGAACGGCATTCCGGAGCGTGTGGTATAGATGGGCTGCGGGTACCAGCACAGCCGCGGACACCGGCGCGCCGAGCAGCGCGTCTGCCAGTTGTCCATCGGAGAGAAGAAGACGAACCGGCTGCGCTCAGCACGCTGCGCCCAGGGCTCGTCCGCATCGGTCGGCTGCCGGCTCAGGCGTGAGATGGCGCGGACGAAGTCCGGCCGATCCCTGTAGCGGGCGAGCAGGAACTCCTGCGACACCGAGCCGTTGTAGATGACGCTCTGCCAGTCGGGGCTGAGCAGCAGGTGCTCGGGCCGCTCAGAGGGCAGCCGGCGCCGGCCGGTGGTGATGCGGCTGAGCAGACCGGCCGTGTAGAACTGACAGACGAGCAGCGCGGCCAGACACACCACCGCGCCGGCCACGTACTGGCTGGCGACACGGCGGGCCGGCGCCAGCGTCAGCCCCTGGTTGCACAGCACGCGCACCGTGCTCAGAACGGTGGCCAGCGGACCCGGCTCGGCGCCGGCCAGCAGCAGGTGACAGGCCAGCACCAGCAGCAGACCAGTACCGGCCAGCAGTGCCAGACCAGCGCCCGAGCCGAACACTCCGCCCAGGCCCGAATCAGGCATCAGGGGAGGGGTGGCAATGAACATCACACCCTCAGTCTTCAACAGGGGGTGAGGGAACCTCATGTAGTCGCGCCGGCTGAACGTGTGGCCGAAATAGTCCGGCATGAAGTCGATTGTACCGTTCTTGAAAAACGCCAGCACATCTATAAAACGGATACCTGTCATATTTAAATCATTGCTTTTGAAACCCATTGCTTCTTCCAGTAGCTCTGCAGTTTGTCGAATGGCGGTAACGACGGTAAACGGACTCGTGGCAAGTTCCCTGTCGTACGACTCTGCTGTGAGAATATTGTAAGTCTTATTGACCACTCTAACGTCT